GACGATAACAGCTTCTAGATTTTTCGGTTGTTTCCAGCCGCTCTAAACGTCTACAGAATAAAATCTTTGCTCAAACTCAGTAGGATCGAATGGAGAGAGGTAATAAGGAGGGAGGACATAACTCAATGTTCTACTGCATTTTGCACCATATTTATTTTGCTCAGTACTGAACTTTTTCATATCAATGCCTTTTTGCACCATTATTTTAAACTGGTTTCTTTTTCTCCTACATTGGTTCATTCTGGTCACCGCTGCATTTTACAGAAGCAGCCATTCAAAACCGTTCCCTGTAAAAATTCAGCCGAATGGCAGCAAAATTCCCTCCAACTTCCAGCCACTGGCCTTCTCCTGGGCGGACATATTTTTTTTTAACTCTGACTCCAACTTTTCACTGAATTACAGGGTCTGACCAGGAGATAACGCTTCTCTTTAGATCTTAATGTCCACAAATCGTGACAGAAAAAATATCTCTTATTAACGCAGTTTTTATTATTTCTTTTATTACTGTAAAAGTCTGTTGCTCCCAGGCTTTTATTTGGTAAAACTAAAAGTAACGAAAGCAGAAAAGAAAAGAAATTGGCGGATAAACAAACCAACAAACACGGAGAAGGGCACGGCGCTTTTACACGGCCATTTTCATTTTAACTTCTTTAAGACGGCGCAGTCGACAGAAGCAAAGTTATTTGTAATCACTGCAAAGTTGAATTGTCTTATCACCGGAGTACTTCGAGTCTAAAATATCACCTAAATGCAAAACACACAGTTGATACCAGCAAATCATTTAACGAAACAGACGGCGGCGCGAGGCTTCAGCAGACTACGTTAGATGCAGCGTGTGGGAGAAGTATAGATAAACAAAGGCAAGAGAAGCTTACAAAGGCTGATTAGTATATTTACAGACTATTTCCCTGCACAGTAAATCTTTTTTTGTGCTTCACCTCACTCTAACAGGGACATTTGGTACTAGACTGTGTTTGCAGAACAAATGTTATGGCACTTCCTTTAATATGGCAGAACATTTAAAATAAAATTGTGCTATATACTACTTTTGAATTCATTATTGTTTTTTTGCATATAAAAATGTGATTAATCACAATTAATCAGGGAAATCATGAGATTAATCTCAATTAAAACTTTTAATCGTTGACCAGCTCTAATTTTAGATGTTTAAAAAGAATTGTAGGTGACTAGCCAAGGGGCCATTAAGAAAATTGGGGATATTTTGAATGGCTACTAATGTATATTAGTTGTGTTTATTCTACTCCAACTGTAATATCATTACACTGTTGCAAGCTGCATGCAAAGAATTTTTGTTTTGTATACAAAATGACAATAAAGTTAGTTAAAGTCTAAGAGAAAAAATGTTTTGGTTGGAAATACCTGCCGATCCAGGGTCAGAGTAAGAGTGAGTCGAACAAACTGAGAGACTAAGTCTTCCGCCGTGGATGGGTACAGAACCAGACTCACCTCCCAGCCCCTGCAGAGACGACAAAAACTGTAAATTAAACTACACAAAACAAACCATAGATCCAGTCAGAAAAAACAGTTGATCGATACAGAAGTTAGAATTATGTCAAGATGACGGGTTTGATTACAGGCCATGAATATCGTATTAAATATCTTGCATATTTTTAGTGGTGTCAAAAGTTCACACATTTGTTACTTAACCCTGTAATGCCAAATGTATCATATTTGATACATACGGTTTCTGAAATATTTTGCGTCTGACACCTTTTGCATAATTTAATGGTAAAAACTTTGCTCAAAATCCTATTTTACACAATCAGATATACCTGATAACAGAGGGCAGAAGACTACACAAAAATAATTT